CGGAGGGGGGGGATCAACAACAATCATTCTTCATACCTGAAATTTCAACAACACCAGCAGCAGCAACATCAGCAGCAACAACAAAAATCAAACCAACAGCAGCAGCAACAAAAACAACAGCAGCAACAACAACAATAATCATGTTAAGACTGTTCGCTCTTACTGGCGCACGCGCGTCGTGCATTCCGTATACCCCAACCCTCGATCCTTGTCGGCCACTGACTGAAGTGCGAAGAAATCTCGAGCGAGAGCGCCGTTCCTGAGTTCGGGGGCCTCTCTGGCCAATGGCTCTCGGAAAAACGATGGGGAAATATCAAACGGGAGCCCTTGTCGCCGTGTCCGGGCCTCCGCCAACTTGCCTGAATTACGGGAAAGTATCGAGCGAGAGCGCCGTTCCTGAGTTCGGAGGCCTTCTTGGCCAGGGGCTCTCGGAGTAAATCGTGAAGAGTATCGAGCAGGAGCCCTTGTCGTCGTGGCTGAGCCTCCGCCAACTTGATTGAATCCGGAGGAAGTCTCGAGCGAGAGCGCCGTTCCTGAGTTCGGGGGCCTCTCTGGCCAGGGTGTCTCGGGGTAAATTGCGAGAAAGTATTGAGCGGGAGCCGTTGTTGTTGTAGCTGGGCCTCCAAAAGGCCACATTTAGGCTCAAACCACCGCTCGAGCGGGAGCCTCGTTTTCAGAGAAAATGTAGCCGGCGTCGGGGCGAGAGCGCGCGGAACCGCTTCCGGAGATCAACAATGATTTTTATTTCGGAATGAATATTCAACAATAGCAACAACACCTACAAGACTGTTCGCTCGCATCTGCCCACGTGCAATCCAATACGTATATCCCAAACCCTCGATACCCGCCGTCTTCGTCTGCGATCGTACCCCCTTGGGGTGTTATCTTCCTTCCCTGCCACGTGAATTGAGTACAACCCCTAAAAAAGGAAAGAGAGGACGGGTGGAAGGGGGATGGAGAAGAATGAACCACGAGAGAAATTAGCAGGATGGGGGCAATGAACAGAAAACAAGTTGTAGAACCAGACGGGCAGATCGAATGGGCAGACCCATAGCGGGGGGTTCGGGAAGGAGGGCCCAGGCGACCAGGTCGAGCAGGCGTGTTGCTGAAGCGTGGGTCCTGCATGAATCGCGAGGGGGTCTCGAGCGATTGCGCGATTCCCACTAGACAAATCGTGAGAAAGGCCACAGCGCGAGCGTGATTCCTGAGCGCCGGAAGCGCATCGTCTGAATAAAGTAAGAGGGAGTACCGATTCTTCAATCAGTTGGGAAGAAGTGCCAGGCGGGAGCCGCTGTTGCTGGAACTCGAGGGCAAGGTCCCAATTTGACCCTCAAGAACTTCCCTGGTATCAAGCAGGTTGCGAGTCCCGGGACGGGCATTTCAATTGGAGAAGTACAATGTTTGCCAGAGGGGGTGTGATCAACAATAGTTACTTGTCAGAAGTGAGAATTCAACCACAACAACAACAATAAGGTGAAGACTGTTCGCTCCTTTTCTGCTTGCGTGCAATCCAACACGTATACCACAAACCCTCGGTACCCGCCCTTTTCGTCTCCGATCGTGCCCCCTTGGGGGAATAATCTTCCTTTCCTGCCACGTGCATTGAGTGCAGCCCCCTGAAACAAGGGAAGAGAGGACGAATGTAAGGAGGAGTGAGAAGGATGGACACCGAGAGACAGTAGCAGGAAGGGGTCTAGGAACAGAAAGCACGTTGTAGAACTAGACGGGCTGATCGGGCGGGTTAGACCCTGACGGGCGGGTCGGAAGGCGGGCCCAAGCGGTCAGGTCGACAAGGCGAGGTCTCGAGCGATAGCGCGATCCCAAAGTAAGTCGCGAGAAAGGCCAAAGCGGGAGCGTGATTCCAGAGTGTCGAGGGCGAGGCGTCTGAATGACACGCGAGGAAGTCCCACGAAGCAAGGCGATTCATGCATACATTGTGATGAAGTCTCGCGCGAGAGCGGGATGTTGGAATGAATTGTAAGAAAATATCAAGCGGGAGCCGTTGTTGGTGTAGCCCGGGGGCCAACAACACAGTTTGAGCATGAAGATTTCCCCTGGAGCATTGTAATTGAACGAAACACACACGCAACATGTGCACCAGCGAGGGGAGATCAGGAATCATTCTTCCATTAAGGGTGAACATTCTACAAACAACAAGCGACAAGCAATTACGCAACAACAATCCCCCGCCCCCCGCAGAACCCCACATCAAGCACGCACCCAGGAACAGTAAATGACCGTTCGGCCCCTCACTCTGACTAGAATCTCGCGCGCGCTTCGCGCGCACGTAGTCTCTAGCATCTCGCCAAATGTGTCAATCGACAATAATGTACAACTTCCGCTGGTAACACCGCCTTCGCTATACCTCCGCCATCCTACACGTAAGGAAAGGGAGAGAGAGAGAGAGAGAGAGAGAAATGAAGAAAGAGACAAGGAGAGAGAGAGAGAGAGAGAGAGAGAACAGGTTAAAGAGGAGTATGCAGGATGACAACCTCGCGGCAAAAGGCCCTAAAGAGCCGTACGCGGTTACACGAGGGGAGGCAACGATGGGGGGCAACGATGGGAGGCAACGATGGGAGGCAACGAAGGGGAACAACGACGGGAGGCAACGATGGGAGTCACCCGTGCGAGGCCACGGGAGGCCAAATGGGGGCAACGGGGCCACGGGAGGCCACGACACGGGAGGCCACGCCACGGGAGGGCACGGGAGGGCACGGGAGACCACGGGAGGCCAAGGCGCCTGAACGAATCCAGACCTGGCGATCCCAGCGCTCGACTTCTCACAAACGACACATAAAACCTTTACAAACGAGCTGCTTGGGGAATAGGAGCTGTGGGCATGAGAAGGATAAGGAAGGAAGAGGGAGGAGAAGGATGATGCGGAGCACAAAGCATACTGGAGCAGACGCATTCGGCGATGGACCGCCCTGCCCTGCCCTACCTGGCCAACTAACGTGACATTAACGGGTGGCTGGTAACCAAGGCAAAACTCGCTGCGCCGTGGTTTAACTTGAAGGTCCAGGGTCTCGGCTTCCTTGGGCCTTCTTGGGGGCATCGTGGGTCGCGTTGGGGCCCGCAAAGGTTTTCTTGAGGCTCTCTTCGGCCGTCTGGGGCCCCTCGAGGTCGTACTGAGAGTTTCTCGGGGCTGTCCTGGAGTTCGTTGGCTCCCTCTTGGGTCGTCCCAAAGCACTCTTGGGCCATTTCGGGCTCTCTGAGGCAATCTGGGGCTCAGCTGGGGCCGTGTTGGGGCGACCTTGAAGACTTCTTGGGATGCATCGGGCAGACTGAACTCAGAAGCGACCAAAAACCATATGATGCTTCAAAACCGAAAGGCTCAATAAATTTTGATCCTCGAGGCCATACTGTGAACCCTCTTGGCGAACTTGGGTCAGCTCGGGACTCTCCTTGCGTCCTGGAGCCAGCTGGGGCCGTCTGTGCACCCTCTTGGGCTCCTCCCCCAAAGAAAGAATCTCTGGAACATGAAAACGGCAAAAGAGCGGCTCCCGGAGACGTGCGAAAAACGGCTCCAAGATCGCAGCAACAAAACTACGACGGAGGCGAGAACAAAAACGGCGCCGGAACCGCCACAAGAACTGGAGAACGGAATCGGTATAGGCAAACTGTTGCCAGCGCCCACTGGGCTCCGGCACATCCGAGGCCCACCGCGTGCCGAGGTCTCCGAAGGTCGATCCCCCAGCTGGTGGCCGCGGACCGCGGACTTCTCCCCGCCTCGGGCCTCTGGCCGCCTGCTCACAGGATCGTGGCCTCGGGGACGCGAATCTATTGTTTAGCTTGCGAGGGGTCGTGGCCTCGGGGACGCGGATATGGCGTAATCTACACCAGGCCGTGGCCTTGGAGACGCGGGTCTTCCGCAATTTACGCGGGATCGCAGCCTCGGGCACGCGCATATGGGAGTCGTCACGGAAGGGGTGGGTCTGCGAGGGGTCGGTCAGGCCGCCCCTGTACAGCGACCAGACATCGAGGATGCCGCTCGAGGTTCGGCGTTTTCCCGGGTGCTTTCGTCCACTCCTGGAGGGTTTCCAGCCCCGGGGAGCTTCAGAGCGCCCTGGCAAGGACGTTCCGAAGGTGCCCGGCTCGTCCCGAGCGGCCGCCCAAGGCCCTGATCCGACAAGCGAGCAAACATCGGGGCGGCCGGTCTGTCACCATTTTTGGCATCTCGAGGCGGGCTTCGGCCACTGGAGCGGTACAGTCGGACCCGGGCCAGGAGAGCATCCTCCAAGAACATGAGGCCCTCCGTCGCCCAAACACGCAGAGTATCCAAGGGCGCCCTCCCCAGGGTGCACAAGAACATCCGACAAACACGAAGAACACTGGGGTACCCTCCTCGAGCCGGCCTCGATCTTGTGCCTCGGTCCGACTGTGCGGAAAGAATCAGGAGGGCTGGAAGACGCACCAGCACCAGGTACTTATGCACTCAAGTTGCAGCGTATACTGTTTTTGCAGAGTCCTGACCAGGTCTACAGGCATGGAGGACTGGTGTTCAGCGCTCTGGATGGCAAGGCTTTCCGATAGCAGGCGCGGTCTGGCGAGGTTTCCCATGATGGAAAACTGGCCCTCGTGGGACGAGTGGGAAGCGCACGATCCCTCGGTTTTCAAATGGTACCCAGCCCCGACCCGAGACATCTCGGCGGCCGCCCTCTCGAGAACTTACTCTGGTTATGCCGTCGTTTGGTTTTCTGCTCCCAGACGGGAAGACTCAACTGCTCACCGACAGGCCAGCCCGCAAAGAGCTGGAATTACATACGCACACACAAACACAAACGCAAACACACACACACACACACTCACGCACACACACGCGCACGCGCACGCACACGCGCACGCGCACGCACACGCGCACGCGCACGCGCACGCGCACGCACACGCACACGCACACGCATACGCACACACACGAAACCAAAATTGCGCTGACTTGATACACCTCTGGAGGCCTTGGCAACGCAATAAGCCGGCCGCTGGCGAGCCCCGGCTCCCCAGTCCTTTTGCCTCGCCACGAAGTCACTATCCTTGCGGCCGCGGAGACGCGAGGACGAAGGAGGGCGATGAAGGAGAAGGATAAGGAAGGAGGAGGAGGTGGAGGAGGAGGTTGACGGGTACAAGGAGCGGGAGCAGGAGGATGAGCATGAAGCTGAAGGCTGGGGGGATTGAGGAGGAGGGTGTAAAGAATGAGGACATGGGAGAGAACGAGGATTGTAATGTATCGCAGATGCCCTTGCGGGTCGAGCTGCCCCTTCCTGCTTGATAATGCCCGAGAAGTCCCCCGAAAGGGGATGACAAAGGGAAATTCGAAGGGGTGCCAGCTGGAGCCCCGAGGGCAGGACGCGCCCAGGAGGCCCCGAGGAAGCCCCGAGAGGCCTCCAGGAACCACCCAATTCTCCGAGCTCCTACCGCCCCCCGACTGCAAGAATCGAAGGGCCCTCCTGTTGGCCTCTCTTTTCCAGGGACGGGCCGAGACCCAACTTAGCATGAACGTGTTCCATGTTCCTGCTTTTGCCTAGCCGCCCAGGCCGCCGACACAATGCCTGTTCCCCACATCCTAAGATGTAGTTTTTACTACTTGCTCACAGCCCCCTCTTCCTCACAGCTCCGAGAACTAACAAGCCCTCCTCTCCACAGCCCCCTCTTCCTCAATCAGAGTGGAACGCTCACACTCAGACTCACTCATACTCACTGGCTTACACTCATACGCAGTCATACTCTGACCCACTCACAGCCAGAGTCTTTATCAACCAGGCACTCTCACTATTAGACTCACTCATACTCCGGCCCAGTTCACTCAGACCCATCCACACTGATATTCATCCAGACTAAATCACACTTTGGACAACACCACATCCAGACTAAATCACACTCAAATGCCTCCTATACCCATGCTCGGGCTCAGTCGTACGGATTAGTGGTCCAATCCCCACCGTATGATAAACCGATCTATAGCAACCTTAGCACTTGGGCACCCCAAGGACGGGGCATTAGGGGTGAGGACCATCCAGGATTCGCGCCCCGAGTGTGGGGATGCCTAAGGAGGTTTGCCTGTTTGCGTGCCCATCACGTTCTGCTTTCGCAGCAAAGCCTGAGGATGCCTCGGGCGAGGCGTTGGTTTCAGCACTCCCAAAAAGGTGCCGCCAAGGGTGGGGACTCTCCAGGATTCGTGCCAAGATTGTGCGGATGTTTCAGGCGACTTGCCTATTCGCGTGCCCAACATCTCTTGCTTTCAACCCGCATGAGAGCTGTCTCACGCGATTTGCATGTTACCCCCGAGCGTATCTCGTTTGGTGGTCCAATGCTCACCACGATGTAGCAATCGCTGCACTTGGACACCTCAAAGCGGAGCCGCCAGGGGTGGGGACACACCAAGGTTCGCGTCCAGTAAGCGGTTTGCCTGTTCGTGTCCCCAGGGGGTTCTTCCTTTGCGGTCCTATGGTCACCGCGATAACGCAGCCGTGGTACTCGAGCACCCCAAGAGGGACTGCCAGGGACGGGAACACTCCAGGGTACGCGTCCAGTTGGTGGGGATGTTTCAGGCGGTTCGCCTGATGCTTCTGCCCCCAATATTTGTTTAGCAGGTCCTATGCTCACCGCAATATAGCAGGCGTGTCACTTGGCCCCGTCGAGGCGAAACCGCCAGGGGTGGGAACATTTCAGGGTTCGCGCTCAGATTCGCGGGGATGTCTCAGGCTGTTTGCTTGCCTCTGCCATCCCCGACTGTTGTTTTTTGACTTGGGTGCTCCTCACTCACTCATTCATTATCTCATTCACCTCCTGCTCCTTTTGCCCCACACAGGCGAATTCAGTCGCTTTCTGACTTCCTCACCAGCACCTCCTCCTCTGTCGTACTCAATCGTCACATTCAGACTCGGTCCGGCTCAGCTTCGATCGTACTCACACTCACACACACGTACTCGTTCATACTCATATTCGCTCGAACTCAGAGTACTCAAACCCAGCCAAACTCACACTCCAACTGGCTCACACTCCAACTGACCAGCCCTCCTCAGATTCTCGCATACTCAGACTAGCTCGCACCCAGGCGTAGTCTGACTCAGCTTTGTATTCGTCGCACTCATACTCAGACCCACACGCACTCAGACTGGCTCGCACTAAAGCCCACTCGCACTTACACACGCTCGCATTCACACCCATTCATGCTCAGACCCACTCATGCTCACGCTGATTCTCACATTCGAACTCAATCGTGCCCGTATCCACTCCGACTGGCTCACAGTCAGATCACCCACGCTCAAATTCACTCGCACGAAGGCTCACACGCAAGCGGCTACAGCGAAGTAGCCAGCGTGGCAGGTGGGCACCCCAGTGTTCGCAAGCAGCACGCAAGCAGCACGCAAATAGAAACGCCATGGGCGTTTGCCTGACTTGCCGCGGGGAAACAGCGAGAGGAACTCCCCGATCGCTTTTCCTGTTGTGTTCCCCTCGCCTGACCTGACAGATGACTAGAGGCGCAAAGGAGTATGAGGACAACGCCACCGAATTCGTCGCTGTCGTCGCCATTGCCTTGCTTGTCGTCTACGCGGACGCTCTCACACCCAGATGGTCATAGGCAGAGCTCCTCTGCGAAAAGTGGCAAGAGTATAAGATGCACATCTGAGGATCTCAGGCGGTCAGGGCGTCTAAACTGGTTGGGACAGCAGAAAAACGGCCAGGAGGAGGCACATCCGCCCAAACCTCTCCCGGGCTCCATCCGGTGCAATGTTTCAGCCCGGATCCGCTTTTCACGGTCCCAGGGCGTGAAAACGGCCCTTGGAAGCCGAAGTCGAGCTTTGGGGCCCACGGATCGAACCTAGGACCTCGAACCTGCCCGCCCTGCCTGCCGTCTGGGACCAGCGCTGGGCCACCTGGAATCCTATAACCTCTCGGGCCATGAGAAAAATATGACGGGCGGTTTTCCCATATTTTCGGCCTCTGGGGACTCTTACGGGCCCTCGGGATCGTCAACAGAAACGTCTCGGGGTGAAACACAAGTCCTGGGTAATGGGTCCAGACCGCTGGGATCCATGTCATGACGAAATCATGTCGGGAATCTGGGATCGGCGATACATCGCCGATATATCGGCGGCGACATGCCCCCGATAGCAAATCTGAACGCTCTTGGGCGGGGCGGCATATCAGGCCCCTATCCGCGATGAACGGGCAATCCGGGGTCGATACACCCTGAGCCTATCCCCCTTGACTTTGTCCCTGATTGCATCCCTGTGCTCCTCCTTATTGCTGCGGGTGCTGCCCATCGGCGTCGCCATCGCCCCCAGACGTTCCATCCCCTGGCAAACATCAAATCTGACCTTCCTCGCCACTCGCGACCTCCAGGCTCCAGGGACTGTGCTTTGACGCCCCAGGGCCGCCACAAATATGAGATGGATACCCAGTCCGCGGGGAAGCGTTGAGAGATATGGGGACCCCGTATGGAAAAATATAGGCGACACAAGAAGTATGGTTTCTCGCCCTCCTCCCGACCATCCTCCCTGAGCCTTTTCCGCAACCTCCATCTCTGCCTCCGCCTCCCCCTTGGGCGCGCGGAGCGCGCCAGGGGCGGCAGTGGACGCGCCGGCACTGCGCGCGTCCTCCTCTCATGCCCGCCACCTGGGGGCCCGAGGCCGTGGATGTGGATCGCTTCGGGGTCCACAGCCTCCTTTTGCGTCCTGGATCGCTTCGAGGCCCTGGGGGCTCTGTTACCCAGATCCACAGCCTCCTGGGGTCCTGAGACACGGGGTCCAGAGACGGAGGACATGCAATATGCATAGACTGTGGCCTCGGATCCTCCTCCGTCCCGTTCTCGTCTCGTCGTCCCCAGACCCAGACCGCTGACATTGAATTCTTTCTCACCGTCGACCCCAGGAAGTCTGGTTTCCGACGACCGGTTGTTCATCCCGAGACGGTTTAGCTACGGTTCCGTGTTCCAGTGAGGGCACCCGGGAGGCCGAGCATGGTCAAATACCTCCCGCCAGGACTCCTCCCACGACGCGAGGCGCTCGGAGTCGTGCTGCAGCCCTCTGTGAGCGATAAAAAGACATGCTCGAAGCTCCGTTCGGATTTTTTTGATCGGCGCTTGAACCCCTGCCTGGCGCTCAGAGCGCGCCAGTGGCGGCACTGGAGACGCTGCCAGGGAGGGTCCAACGCACATCCAAAAAAGACAACGCGGATCCCGAATGGATACGGACGCCCGCCATGGATACGGACAAAATGGGTACGCCTGGCATGGATACGGGCAAAATGGGTACGCTTCCCAGCTGCAAATGTTTCACAACACTGGCAGCAGCAGCTGCTGGGCAGACAACTTTGTTGTGGAGTAGGCAACGCCCGCGGCGATACCGACAGCGAGCCCCGTTCAAGATGGTACTAGCGCTGCCAGCAGCCTTCGGCCATGTTCTTCCCGCACCTATGTCGATCTTGCCGGAGAACTTCTTCCCATCGATATGCCCCTCCCCCACATGGGTCGGACGAAGAGGAAGTAGTAAAGGGGGGGATGGCGCATCAGCTCACGGTGTTGCTTTTCCCGGGGCCTCCCATCGCCAGTCTCTCTATCGAGAAAAACGCGCGCGGGGCCGAGACCAGCTGCGTGCAGCAAGTATCGTAAACTCCCCTTCCCCTATCGTTACACCGCTTGTTGCTGCTGCCCCTGCTAAAAGATGCTCTCGCTCGGCGTCAGCAGTGTCGCGCCGCAGTGCAATGTGCTGTTCGGTTCCTATCTTTGGAGCATCTGCCTTCGCGCCCGTGCAGACCTTCTAGTGCAAGCAAGCATTCCGGCAGCTGATCGGCCTCGCAATCCCTTCAAAAAACCCATTCGTCCTACCCGACCTCGGAAGCGCGGCGAGGGCCCCATGAAGCCGAAAACTGCCGCAAGCCTTGCTCCTCGATGTTTTCAAGCCGCGAAGGGGTCTGGGTTCCCTGAGATCCGGCGTAGCCAAAAAAGGCAAACATCGTGAACATTCACGGCCAACGCCCTCAGCCTGGACCGTGTCTTTATGCGCAATTCTATGGACCCGATCGGTATGTGGACCCCAGGGCCCGAAACCCGGAGAAAACGCCCAGCTCAACAACGAAAACGGGACGTCATGATCCCAAAGTTTCGTCCGACCCGACCCCAGGACCCCCGACGTCATGACTTATGCTCATAGCTTCGACCCCCCAAAGTCTCGACCCATTCCCCAGGACTGGCTTTTCATCCTGAGTCGTTTTGGATGGTCCCGAGGCCTGGTGAGGGCCCACAGAGGGCGAAAAAAGCGAAACACCGTCCGTCGGGACTTTCATTTGGCGGCAAGCGAGGGGGGGAAGTGAGAAGGATAAGGTCTTCTCAGAAGGCGGCGGGGCTTCTCAGAAGCCCTCTGGCCTTCTGAGCAGTTTCCTGTGCCTTCGGAAAAAACTTGAACAGCTTTTCAGAAGGCCGGAGGACTTCTGAGCCTTCTGAGAGGGCCCACCCCCTCTAGAGGCCTCCTAGATGAGGTCGGAGTAAATGGGGTCGGAACATCGAGCCGCATCGTCGATACATCGGCGATACATCGGCGATGCATCGACGATGCATCGGCGATGTATCGGCGACGTCGGCGGTGCATCGGCGACGCCAGGGTGGAGAAATCGAGCCCCACATCGAGCCGCAACGCCGACAACGCCGCCACCGCCGTCGCCGCCGTCGTCGTCGCCGTCGCCGTCGTCGCCGTGGTCGTCGTCGTCGTCGTCGTCGTCGTCGTCGTCGTCGTCGTCGTCGGCATCGGCAGTGGCATCGGCATACGCATCGGACGGAGGAAGAAGGAGGAGCAACATCGTGGTCGACGATGGCTTCGCCATCGTCGCCTCTCTCTGGGTGTGGCGTGCTGCTGCGGTGCTTCAGGAAGTCAGGGCGGTTGACCTCCGGCAGAGAGCTGAGGTCGTCGTGGTCGTGTTCGTCGTCGACGTTGTCGTCGTCGTCGTCGTCGTCGTCGTCGTCGTCGTCGTCGTCGTCGTCGTCGTCGTGGTCGCCCCCCCCCCCCCCCAGCAAATCAGGGGGGGCGGGGCCGAGGGACCCTGAGGCCCATCCCGTCTGGGGGTGGGGGGTGGGGGCCCGTGGGCCCGGAGCCCGGGATCGCGTATCCACATCCGCCGCCCGTGGAGGTCCGCGAAGATCGACCTCCCAGGCGGTGGTGATGGATAAATCCTCTCTCTCCCAGGCCCGCCTTCGCCCGCCCCGCGCGCCCAGCGGTGCGGGAGGGGCCGTAGGCCGCCTTGAGCGGGTCCGGGGGTGGCAGGCCCCCGTAGAGGTCGTCCAGCGACGGCGCCTCCACCGGCGCCGTCTTGCCCTCGGGGCGCGCGCGGAAAGGGAGGAGGAGGAGAAGGAGGAGGAGGAGACGGAAGAGGAGGAGGAAGAGGAAGAGAAAAAAAGAGGAGGAGGGCATCGGTGCGATCGCTCGACACTGTCCGCAGCTCGGAGGAGGAGGAGAACGAGGAGGAGGAGGAGGAGGAGGAGGAACAGGAGCAGGAACAGGAGGGAGGAGATGTTGTTGCTTGTTTGTCATGTCTCTCTCTCTCTCTCGATCTCCTGGGGGCGGACGCATTTCAGGCTAGCTCCGCAAGTGAGCGACGAAAAGAAAAGGGTCCTACGCACGATAACACAGCGAACTCAAGCGGTGGCTTGCGCGGGCCACCAGCGCGGCACGCCTCATTACGCCTGCGCGCGACCTTACGCGAGCAGCTCACGCGCGGAAATCGTCGCCAGCGACACCGCCTGTTGGCGGTGCGCACAAGGGGGTGGAGGGAGGGGGGAGGGCTTCTTAGAAGGAGGCTGCGTCTTAGAAGGCGCCGGCCTTACATCTATAGATGGGCCCTCGCCTTCTAAGAAGCATGGGTGCTTCTAAGCAGCCCTCCCCCCTCCCCCCAACCCCCCTCTGCGCGTGGCTGAGCTTCCGGAAAACACGCACTGGGTCGAGAAACGACTCTTCGGCCCCCTTCTCTCATATTGACAGGCCTGCCGGACGGCCGAGGCCGATGCCCGGCGACTGTGGTCAGCAGCACGGAGGAGGAGCAGGGAGCAGGGAGGAGATGTAGGACGGGGGAGGAGGAGGGAGGAGGGGGGAGGAGAAGGGAGCAGGGAGGAGGGAGGAGGAGGGAGGAGGGAGTGCGGGAGGAAGAAGCAGGGAGAAGAGAGGGAGCAGGGATGAGCATCCTGAGATGACCCCTGGACGGCCACGAGGGACCCAGCAGAGCTCCAGGACGGCCACAGAGTGCCCCCTGGCAGGCTGGGGCGTGATGAAATGCCAAGTGCTGTCTGGTAGGATTGCTGTTGTCTTCTAGGAGCCCCCCCTCTCTTGCCCTGCTGGGCCTGCATGCATCGGCTCCTCTCCCGAGTCAAAATCCCTGGCAAAATGCGACACATTCGCGATCCCGAGGCCAAGATGCCTCCAAGACGACCCAATATACCTCCAAGACGGTCCACTTGGACAGCCTCAAAACGACCCCAGATGGCATTAAAATTACCCACGATGCTGTCGAGACGTCCCCAGAGAGCCTCAAGAGCCTTCTAAAGAGGGCCTCAGAGGCAAACGTCAATGAGATTCCTTTGGTGTTTCGATCGTTGTAGGGTTTACGCAATTTCGAGCTTCCGACGTCCCAAGTCGGCCCAAGAGGCCGCCAAGATGGCCCCACGACGGCCGAATAGGGTCTGAAGATGGTCCAAAGAGTTTCCAAGACGGCCTCAAGACAGCCCAAGAGAGCCTCTGGACGGCCCAGGAGGGCCGAAGAGCGGCCCAAGCCGGTCCAGGATGACTTCCAGACAAACCCGAGATGGCCTAAGATGACTTCTCGACAGCGCAAGAAGGCCTCACGACGGCCCGAGGAGACCTCCCTAGACGGCATCGAAGGCCCCAAGAGAGCCCCAAGACGGCCCAAAAGGGCTCCAAGACGACCCAAAAGGCCCCAAGAGAACCCCGAGACTGTCCCACTGGAGGCCAGGACAACACCATGACAGCCCAAACAAGGTTCATGAGAGCTCGTCTAGACGTGAAGACGGAAGGTGTCACATGTGATGGTTCTCACCCGCCTCCTCCTCAGCTTCCTCGTCCTCCGCATCGTCATTATCATCATCCCAGCCACCGTCCTCGTCCTCATCTCCATCATCACCATCATCTTCATCAACATTACCTACATCATCATCCTCCTCACCATCATCAACATGATCACCATCATGAGCATCGTCTTCAAGTCCTTCCCTCGCTTCATCGACCTGGGTCGCTCCATGAGTGAACCACGGCGATGCAAGATGGCCTAGAAATGCGGAGGTGTCATGCGTGACACCTGTCAACGTTGCCCGAGCGGTCGCCGCAGAGAGCCCAGTGACGGGCCAAGAAAGCCCGAAGTCCAGCTATATGTCACAAGCCCAATATGTCGCCGCTCTGAGTGACGGCGTGCTGGGCTTGCTCCAACCGTCGCAGCAATGAGTGCATCTAATCATCGCCACTCGAGGTGCCACAGGCCTCCCGTCTCCCTCGCGCAAGGACCACCGAGAATGATGTGCTGGCACGGCGGCGGGACTTGCCGCAAGCAGCTGGATGATAAGAGAAGGCCCCGCACTGAACAAAACAACGCATCATAGATCTGGTAGGTTGACTGGCTGGTTGGAAGGCAAGGGCAAAACCCCCAAAACTTTGTTATGCTCATGTTGACTTGCCTTCTTCGAGAAAAGGTGGTGGTGAGACGGCGTCCACGGACCGGAGCCCGTTCCCTCCTCCGACCTCCCTCCTCCTCCTCCTCCTCCTCCTCCTCCTCCTCCTCCTCCTCCTCCTCCATCCTCCATCTTCCCTCCTCCACTTCCCCCCTCCCCCCTCGCTGCATGCGCGCTCTTTGGATTACGCCGAGCTCCCGCCTCCAGGCATGTGGCCCGCGCCGAGGTTCCCCGGGTGGCCTCTGGAGACACGGACAAAAAAAACAGAAGCGTCCAAACACCTTGGTGACCCTCCTCCGCCCTCCACAGAGGAACACAACACTGCTGTAGACACATACGATAAGGCATCCTGCTATGAGAAAGTGTGGGGCATCTTCTTCGTCGAGATTTGAGCTTCCTGAGGTGCTCGAGGGCTCCAGCGTGCCCCCAGGGCGATCAGGGGATCAGAAACTTCCGTGAGGCACCTGCTGGCAGGCAGCTTCCAATTTTGTTGATGTAACTGTTGCACATGCGCGCAAACTTTCATAGGTTGGCGGCGTGCAGAGAGGGGTGGGGGGAGGGGGGAGGGCTTCCTAGAAGGAGGCTGCTTCTCTGAAGGCGCCAGCCTTCGATCTACGGAGAAGGCCCGCCAAGGGGCTTCTAAGAAGCCCTCCCCCCTCCCCCCACCCCCCCTCTGCGCGTGGCTGAATAGGTCCGCGCGGACCCCTGGCGCGCGCCGCCCCAGCGCTGACCCGGGAAAAATCGGCGAGGACCTCCGAGAGCCCATGATTGTGCTCGTGCCGCTCTCTCCTCCTCGACCTGCCCCCCTCCCAGTGATCAAGCGTGAAATACGAAGCCAGGACGAGGATGAAATCGGGTGAGGAGAAATCGAGAATCTCTGAGATTCGGCGGCTCTGGAGGATGTTTCGGGCGCCGCGGCCTTCTCAGAACGTTCCGGAGCGCTCTGAGAGGGCTCCGGAACGCTGTGGAACGGGTTTCTGCCCCAGCCCCGTCCGACCGCGATCCGAAAGCATTGCGACCCATCGCGGAACATCGCGGAACATCACGAAACCACAGGAAACATCCCAGCGCCCCGGAAGAATTGCGACCTCGCGCGTCCGACAGCATCGCGCAACCTCACGACCCGGAGGCCACGGATCCCCCCCTCCTGCGGCACTCTTCCGGCCGCATCGCTCTGCAACGGCCCCGCGGCCCGAGGCCCGGAGACCACGCCGATCGTGGACACACTGCGTCAACGCCCCGATATCTCAGGGCCAGCCTCTCTGCCCCCGGGCCAACAACGGGCGAGGGGGGCCTTCTTGGCAAGCTGGGCCGCCGCCGCCGCCTCCTTCGCCGCCTTCTCCTCCGCGCGCCGCCTCTTCTTGGCATCCTGCCCGGCACCGGAGCGGCGGACCGGGAGGGGCAGGAAGACCCGACCCCAAAATGCCGACGCCACAGGTGTCTGCGCCCAGCGGCTTGCCTAACAAGAAGAAAACCCCAAATGGCGCCCCCACCCCTGGGGGCGGCACCCGCGGGGACCCCTAGGCTGGCAGGCGGTTGGACCAGGGGTGGGGGAAAGATTTTGGCAGCTTTCGAGGCTGGCGCTCGAGCGGGGGCTGCTCTCACAAATCTCACCCCCGGTCGCGGCACCCATTCGACAACTCTGTCTTGCCCTCGTGGTGGTCGGGGGTGGGGGTACAATTTTGGGTTACGAGAGCAGGAAGACCGATTGGTAAGGCTTCGGGATGTGCACGATGGCGGGGAGCGGCGACGACGGCGAGGAAGAGCGACGACGAGGAACGAGAGGAGCGACGACGAGGCCACCAGAGTGATGGGGGGGAAGAAAAAAAGGAGGAGGATGGTAAGGCTTCGGGTTGCGCACAGGCAACGCCCCCCAGGTAGACTTGACTGGCCTCAACAGGCCCCCCGAGTAGTCCAGGGCGGTCTCAGCACCCTGGCACCCCCTCCGGCGGCGTCCGTCCATTGAGGCCAACCAGGACTACCTGTGGGTGCTGCCTGTGCGCAACCCGAACCGCCGACAAGACTGATACCCCGGTATTCTAAGCCGGATTCAGCGGGATTCAGCCAGACTTGCCGTGAATGTGCCGGATGAGGTCGGTTTTCGACCACGGATATACCAGCGCCGAGGCTGAATTTGACCCGCCCAGCAGTTGCATCCTAACCAAGGGGTTCCACATCGGTGGGCGGAGCACGTCATCCAGCAGGTTGGCTGGGCTTTGGTCCAATGTTCGGCCACAGTGGCGATTCCGAAAGGGCAGGGGGCGGCTGTGATTCGCCGTAAGCGTCTTCGACAGAGGTAGCACGGTCTCTTCTGTCTTGAAGCAATTCAAGGGTAATCGTCGGCCTGCCCCTCCCAGGGCATCCTGATCCGCCCCCCTGGTGTCGGCGGAACCGGCCGTAAGGTCTTTGCAGCAGTCAGACACAGTCCGTCGTGCTTATGTTCGCCACGAGAGGAGGTCTGGGGGCGTTTCGGGTGCGTAGAAGAGGTGGTTCCTGCAGAGAGGGGTTGGCGCAGCATGGTCCGAGGTGTGTCTGTGTGTGTGTGCGGAAGAGACGACGGGGGGGGGGCTGGGAGCCAGGGGACGTTGAAAGAAGAAACAAAATAAGAAGACACCACGTTATCTGGGACATGTCATGGCCATGGCTACGGCATCCACACAGCCCTGTTCTTCGTCCCCCTGTTCTCTAAGATCCGACGTGGTCGACAAAAGCCAATCCCGTTGAACATCACGGCCCGAACCTTAAAAACTATATTTGCGCAACATGTCCACCCTCGATAACGTACAGCATGCGTCGTGCAAGATGCGTGGTCTAGTCAAGCATTCGCCCCAAGCAACACCATATGTTTGCAGTATGCTTATTGCGCTGTCCAGCCTGCTCGCCGCACCCTGCTTGCACCGATCCGCTCGCGACGACCTACCTCCAGCGCCCCGACTGCATTGATTCCTTCGCGAAGCGCCGCGTGCTTGACATCCTGGCATGAACGAACGAATCGTCTGACAAAGTTAGATGTCACTTCGAAAAAGTTGATAGGTACATGAAGCAGGGAGGCGATTCAAGTAGATCGGGCTTTGGTTCTCGAGGATCATGGGCGGTAAAAGTAGCACACCGCCGATGCTTGGAGAAGGGAAGGGGCTTGAAGGTCGATTGGGGCGGAAATGCCTCCCCTGAGATCCGACGTTACGAGGAAAATGCGCCATCGCAAAAAAAAACGCGACTGGAACCGAAGACACCATCTTTCTGCAACATATTTCCAGCCGGATCGATCCGTGAAGGTCCTTGGGCCCGATTCCGAGGGAAAACGCCCGGTGAAACAATTGCAACGCCAAGAACTCGGGGCCCCATCCGTTCAAGGAACGGCCTGAAAAGCATGGCCAGGCCAGTCGGACATAACCGCTGGTGTGCCCCTCGAGCGGGCAGCTGGCCACCGGAGGAGAGAGGCGCCCAGGTGCTCCCCAGAGAGGCCGGCTGTCGGCCAGGTGTCTCGTAAGAGGGGTCGTTGGCTCCCTCGCGCCAGGGCGCCGAGCTCCGCAGACTGCCGGCGGCGCAAACGAAAGACCTTCAGGCCCGACGGCGCCCCTCGGGCGCCCGCTCCGTGGTGGCCGATCTCGCCTGGGTGCGTCGGAGCAGCCCGCGTGAAGGCACGTGCGTCTTGTGGCCGCGACGCAACCCCGCGCAGCAGCGGCCCCAGGCCTCCATGCCCTTCTTGACCCTCTCCAGCTTCTCCTGCACCTGGGACGGGAGCGATCTCATGACAACACTGGCTCAGGACACGCCCCAGGATCTCCAGGATACCTAGCGGCCCTCGCTTCTGCAGCCCGTGTGGAACATCAGTGAAACCGGGAAACATCCTGGCAGACGTACGATGTCCAAGACCGGCGGATGCGAAGGGGGGAAGTTAGAAGGCGAAGGCGTTCTCAGAAGGCGGCGGGGCTTCTCAGAAGCCCTCGCGCCTTCTGAGAAGCTCGGTGTGTCTTCGGGGAAAGCTTAGAAAACTTCTCAGAAGGCCGGAAGACTTACAAGCCTTCAGAGACAACCTTCCCCTTCTCGCTTCCCCCCTTCGCTCGCCGCCGACGTGACCTCTTGCTCCTCTGAGCATCTGCAGCACACGGCGCGGCCCCAGCCCGCGCGCGCGCGCCCTGCCCCCCCCCACCCCCCCCGCTCCCACGAAGGCGGACGCCAACTAGACAGTCAAAACCGATAGCAAGGACGCGCGAGAAGGTCCATGGCGGAGCCCCTCGAGCGGACTCGCCATCGAGAGTGGTTCAGCCTGGGCCGAGGAGGCCAGGATGCAGGGCACACCCTTGGGGAGGTTCCCCAACCTTGCTACAGTCGAGGCGTTGACCTAAGGAACCCTAAATAAGGAACGGGGCCCCATTTTTCCATAAGTCAAACTTTGACTTCCCATCGAAAACCTAAGGAACACCTCAGGCAAGCTGCAAAACAATGAAGGAACACGGAGCCCCTCCCCAACGAGAAGGGTTCCTTCTTCAGGGCCCCGACTGCATCGATTTCGACTGCACGCCTACACAGCTCCTGACCGGGCCCATCCTGGGCACAGGATCGGTCCGCACGCCCACCCGGCCTGGGCAGGAGGGCACACGGACCGCTGCTGGGCCCAGGATAGGCCTGGCCAAGACCGGTGTACAGGTGCATGGCTGGTGCCCTCCGGCTCCATCGCTCGTGATCCCTCCCCACCCCTCCCCTCCACAAACTCCAGCCTCCCTTCCCCTCCCGACCTTGGCGTCCCTCCTTCTGGTGGCGGAGCTGAGGTCTCCTCCTCACGAGTGCGCTCCCCGAGCGCTGCGAGGCAAACTTCCCAGA